CCCCTCGCTTCCCCGGCACAACCCCGTGGCATCAACACCCACGCGCCGCAGTGGTCGCCGGTTATAATGGGTTAGAGCCAGCCGAGCCGTAAATAAAAATGAAATTTGTTGAACGGTGCAGGCGTCGTTTCAGGATAAACAAAGACCCTGCAGGACGTCCGGTCCTTATCTTCGGATCTTCGCGGGGCTCGTCCATGCGTCGACAGGATTGGACGAGGGGCTGAAATATTATCGGGAATAATTATTTGTTAGATAAATATGATGGGGAGATAATGGAGAATTTATGGATTGGCCCACTAGCGAAATACAAATGGTTGAGCATGCTCGTGCATTAATTTCTAGGGGGTTTTTGATGGCCGATGTATTTAGATGATGTGGCGATAGTGGGGGTGAGAGCGCTGCACTGTATAGTTTGCAGTGTTGATGTTCATTCCATGCGGCATTCATTTTTCTTAATTATTGGACGGAAAGCGGGTCACGATGAATTAGTCAAGTATTGCAGTGAGAGAGGGGGAATGGGTGTTTTAATTCGAAGATGATTATTTCGTATCAGCCCGGGGTGTACCAAGCGCTCTCAAGTGTAATATAAGGGTCAGATGATAAGTGTGAGGATATAAGGGTCAAAAAGTGGAGGTGAAGGAAGGAGGGTCAGAGTGTTTCGACCCTATTCTGACCCTTATATTCTGACACTCATGAGAATCATCTTCGAATTGAAATACCCAACCCCCAATTGAGTATAAAATATACTTGATTCAAGTATATTATTGTGAAACGTAAAATGAACCGGCAATTTTCTGATTATTTTTGTGATTATCCTTACATTGGTATTCCGTAAAATTTGTAAATCATTAGAACTAAATACACTTTTATTGAGTTTAAGAAAAAAATCATTTAATTCAAATAAAGAAATTCTTTTTAATTGAAAAAAAAATCTTCATTTTTAACTATTTAAATAAACTTATTTAACTGATTTAAATAAATTATTTTTGTTCGTGAAAATATTAAAACTACAATATCTTGAGCAACTCAATATTTACTCAACTTTACTTTTCTATTTTCAATCTGTCATTCGACAGATGATTATTCACGTCATCGTGGCAGCTGAGCCATTTGAAAAAACACAGCATCCAGCACTTTTCTTGCCCAACTACAACTGATGATTAGCGAGACTAATTACCGAAGGGTAGAGTTGGAAAAAAACTCTTGGAATGTCAAACAAATACATTAGAAAGCAAATATGAGAATATTCCCTGAGTGAAATCACAGTGTGTCCCAGTCTTTCGACTGAGGCTGATTAATTACCGAGATATGTAAATACTCGGGTTGTTTCTTTAGGCGTTGCATTGAAAAACGTCTTGCCCTGTTGGATGGTAACAAGACACGGTAGTGTTGTATTCAAAGTGTGTTAAATTCATCACCAGTGAAAACACTAATCTCCAACTGTGTTTTTCAACTCACGACTTAATGACTCCATTTCGCACTGCGTGGCTTGTACCAGTGACACGCAAATTTTAGTGATTGATGGTGGGTAAGTGAATTAGGTGTGGGGCAATTGTTCGCTCTCAGCTGTCGGTTAATCGTTTTGCTTATTCTCGGAATAAATACGCGGTTGGACAATAATCGATATTTTATGGGTAATCAGGCAGTTGTTTTTTGTATTCATAAGGGTGAGATTCAACTTCAGTTAAAAAAACAAGGAGATCGTTAACAATTTAATGAAATAGAGTTACCCACAACGAAAATAAACAAGTGTTATTTTGAGA